CAGATCCAGCTTTACTTGCCATACTCGATAGGATGCAGCAGGAGCAGCAGCGTCAGGCACAGGCACAGGCTATTGCCAATGCCCAGATGCAGACACGGCAGGATCAATTTCAGCACCAGTTCCTTCTCTTCTAGCAGCAGACTCTGCAGTTCATGGATCACATTCCCTGCCACTCTAGTGCTCCTCCATTTGTGCCAGCCGTCTAGCAGCTAGGCCTAGCAGCTACCACTACTACTGTGACCCCAACGTTATAGTCCAGCAGACTTCAGGGTCAGGGTCAGCTGCCAGGTTACTTTGCCTCACCCACCGTGCAGTTTCCACAGTACTTTGTTGCTACTCCAGGCACAGGGCAGGCTCAGGGGTTCACACTGATCACTACAGGCTTCACACCTGGTCAGTCTGAGTCAGTGCTAGTGATAGGTACCCTAGTTTCCTAGAGTCTATCTACGACGTTTAGTGAGCTTATAGGTCACCCCACACCCCCTGAGTTTTGGGTACCTGTGCCTACTATAGCAGCTCCACCTTCAGGGATGACATGAACTCTCTCCTCGTCTGTAGCTTCAATAGAGCCATAGACTATCAGCCTGTTCGCTTGCTCGTAAACGATCGTAAATTTTCAGCCGAAAACAGTGTTTTTCTCTCACACCAAACCAGCCAGCAGTAAATAATCCACGATACGATACGGCCTCCCGAACAGGCGGCATTCCTACTACTTCAGTACCAGAGGCACCTGCGACAACTCCAACTTCAGTAGCAGTTGTGGCTCCTCTTACCACAATGACAGCTTCAATGCCACAGTGTCAGGCCTCCACTACAGCTTCAGAGTCTCAGCAGGCCGACCGCACTATCGAGTCCACTGAGCACCAGACCACTTCACCTCCACTTCTAGCGACCGAGGGTCAGCCCGAGTCCACTCCAGAGGGTCAGACAGCTATGAGTTCAGAGTCAGACGAGGAGGCCCTACTTGCTCAGTTTGAGGTGACACCCCGCTCCTCAGCGCCTGACTCGTCTGCTCCCGTTCTACCGACAGACCCTTAGGTTTTGGTGCTTGACGCCAAAGGGGGAGAGGGAGCGAGTATGTAGACTTAGGGGGAGCGTGTGAGATGGTCTCGTTCTTTTGTGTGTGATACTTCATGCATTCACGTTTACTTTCATGCATTGTATTATATATGTGTTTGCTCTTGTGGTGGTTTACGTGACATGTGGTGCTCTCTACTTCATATTTATCTATGTCATGTCACTGGTTTATGCTCGTTTTTCGTGCTTCCGCGTTTTACTCCGATTCAAATGAGCTTTATGTTTCGTACTCGTTCTTAATTCATATCCTTTGAGTACATGTTGTGGTCTTGGTATGCATGAACTTGTTCTAACCTCTTTTATCTTCTTGTCGCAAGTTCATGCAAACCAAGCAAGTTGAAAACCTCACCCATCACTTTTCAAACATACTCGAGATTATGTTGTCATTAATCACCAAAAATGGGGAGATTGAAAGCATCTATGCCCCTAGTGGGTTTCGATGATTAATGACGACATAAGATTATTGTGACTAACGTATGTTTTGCAGAGGCAATTTGAGTTAGGTCACGATAATGGTGATTGTTTGGGCAATCAATGGTTTTCTTGCCCCTATCGATGGAAATCGTTTTAGTTTTCAAAGGATGGGCGACAAGGTTAAGGACGGACTAGTTCTAAGTGTCGTTTGGTGTTGAGAGACACTTAGAGTAGTTAGGACTTTGTTTTTCCTTTGGCCGTACTATAAAGGGGGTATGAACTAGTAGCTTGACCTAGGTGAGTCTAATGTGTTAGGTGTGGTGCACACTTATCAAACTTAGCACTAGGTAGCTCAGGGATGGCCCAAATATCAAGTGGAACAAACCCCATTCACAAAGTGTTTGAATTGAAAGTGATTTAAGGGGTTGATTTAGCTTCGGACTGTGTTTGTCACTGTGGTCTAGACCATGGTGAAGAGTTTGGAGGACACGTGGCACTTCCAGGAAGTCTCTTAGGCGCGCTCATGCTCCGAACTGAGGTAAACAGGGCGTCCGGACCATTGGTTCCTGGTCCGGTTGGCTAGGGTATACTTCAGGCCGTCCGGACTCGGTGAACAGTGTCCTGTCCGGACCATCGCTGAGCTGGGTCCGGACGGGTACAATAAGGTTACAGAGAGGGAATTTGACACCGGACTCGGTCCGGTTGGTGGAGTCTAGACCATGGTGAGGGTCCGGACCCTCCAACGGTCGACTCTGACACAATGCTGGCACTATGACGTCTGTGAGAGTTGGACCGAGGAGTGTTGGTCCAGACCACCCGCTGTGCTCGGTCCGGAGCACTTGCAGTGAACTATACTTGACTCCAACGGCTATGTGTCGGAGTGGGGAGTATTTATACTTCTCCTACTCGACTAAGGAGGTCCTCTTGCTCATTTGTTCAGCTGAGGCAACCATTTGGAGTTCAAGGGAGAGCAAGTGCCTAGTGGGGTGATTGAGATTTGTTAATCCAAGATTAAGGACCTCATTAGTGTATAGGGAGTAGCAAGTGTGCATCCATCTTCCTCATTAGGCTTGTCATGGTCAAGTGAGAGTTTGTGCTTGTTACTCTTGGTGATCGGCATCACCTAGACGGCTTTGTGGCGTTTGGGAGCTTGGTGATCATCCGGTGGTGATTGTGGATGACCCTACTCATCTTGTGGGCGATTCACCACGTTGGAGCGACGGAGAATCAGCCCGTAGAGAGCACTTGGTCCTTGCGCGGATCTAGGGAGAGCCATACCCTTGCGCGGGTGCTTCAAAGAAAACTAGTGGGGAGTGCCAGCTCTCCGATACCTTGGAAAAATATCGGCGTGTTCCTTCCCTTCTCTTTAATTTGAGCATTTACTTTTGAGCACTTCAATTCATGTCTTTACATTCCTAAAATTGACATGCTAGAGTGGGATTAAAACCTAGAGTGCAAAACTTTTGTGCGATAGAACAATAGATAACACTTTTAGGCACAATGGGGTGAAATTGACTAAGCGGTAGGTCTTAATTATTGCGAGAAAATTTAGATTAGCCCAATTCAACCCCCCTCCTCCCTCTTGGGCATCTTGATCCTTTCACCTCCCTCGTAGATCACTCGTCGTGAGCCCTCCAAAATTCTCCCAACTATTGTAAAAAAAATTCTAATTTTAATCCCCACCTGCTTCTTCTCGAGGCTTCAACTTGCTTCATTGGAATGGGCCCATAGTTCAAAGGTACAAAACTAGACAGTAAATTTGATTTCAATCTCAAACACGTCCCTATAGACTTTGGGTAACGGAAGTATATATGCTAGACATAGATATGGGACCTAGCTATATGTAAATAGCTATATGTTAATCCTAAATTTCTATTTGGAGCGTTCAGCTGAAGTTCTGGGAACAACAAGGAGATGGTACCCTTGTTTGTCAAAAAAAAGAGAGGAGATGGTACCCTTGTATTTTGGAGCGGTCAGCTCAAGTGATAACCCTTGTTTGGTTTAGGGTGATGCTTATATAAAGTTTTGTATTAGTAGAAGAACCTCATGATATGCTGTTCAGTACTATTAATATTGGTGTAAGTAATGCACTCAATTCAACCTTGTAGCAGACGCTCTTTTAATACGTACATCCTGCCTACTGGGACTTGTTTGAGCATGATACAAGGGGGCAGTCAGGATCACAAAAACTACATGCATCAGTGTCAGGCGACCGAAGGTTGTAGAAGTCTTGAGCATCTTTGACTGAATAATTAAACTCTAGACCCACGAATGGCATGAAAATCGGCTCTCCTGGCCGATTAACAGAGGTTCTCAGTGACTGCTTGACGGGGCTTCCTTCCAGAGGAGCCACCCATGAATCTGGTCAATGTTTGCATCTTTTTCTGCAGAGATTTATCTGATACAATCAATCAATGAGAACTGAAAAACACTAGTACTCAAGTTCATCCAGTGTATCGATTTGAAATACATATTGAATCCTGGAGAAATTGCCTCAAGCGAATCTGATCTCCAGACAAACAAGCGAACCCAGCTTCAATTAACCCTGGATGCAGAGCGGCACACTTGTCCCTCGCCATTGACAAACAAATCAGACGAGATCTATGCTTCACGGAACTGACTGACTAACGAAGTCGCCTGGAACGCCGCCTGCAGTATTAATTGTCGGCACCGTGGATCTCCCGGCGAACTTCGGTCCGCCGACCCTTCCGCCCTTGAAAGCTCCACTAATGAAGCATCGCGGGCAAAGCATGATATCCATTTGTGGCAAAAGCATCAAAGAAAGAAGAAGAGCTCCTGGGACATGGTGGAGAGTACATCTGTAAAGGGCCGGGTTGAGCTCCTCCTGATTCCTGAAGTCTTCGACGATCCTGAAGTCTTCGACGGTAAGACTACGACCCTGTGCGTTTTGCGTTCTTGCTGTGTGGAGCAGGATTCGAATTTTTGGTTGATTCGTTTTCTACTCTTGGGGCCAGTTTGGATGCTAAAATTTTTAGCAAAACGTTACTGTAGCGTTTTTGTTGTTATTTGGCAATTAGTGTCCAATTATAGTCTAATTATACTTAAAAGATTCGTCTCGTGAATTTCATCTAAACTGTGTAATTAATTTTATTTTTTATTTATATTTAATGTTTGATGCATGCGTTCAAAAATTCGATGTGACGGAGATTCTTGGAAAATTTAGCATTTGAGTGCAACTAAACCGGGCTTTGGACTCGGAGTCCGATCCCAAGGAGAAGCTAGCTAGTCCGAATCGATCCAGCTGGGCCGTCGTGTCCGATCTCCCCGGGCGCATGCTTGTCGTTGGCAGCACTATAAAACCTGCAGGCCGCGGCGGCGTGGAATTTTAACATACTCCAAGTTATAAACCATCTGCTGCTTGTCGTTGGCAGCACTATACGCATCAGATTATCGATCTCCGTCGGCACGGCAACGACGACCAACCAAGAATCACAAGATCGATTAGGCCGGAGGAACGACAGCGCGCGCGCGGCCGGGGAACGAGAACGATGACGGTGGAGACGGGGTCGCACTGGCAAGCAGAGGTGGACTGGGCCTGGGTCGACACCGCCGCTGCGGCCAACGCCGACGACGACCACCCCCACGTCGTCGTGTCGAGGATCAAGGAAGGGACGAGGAAGAGGCTGTACGAGCACGGCGAGGGTGAGCTGGACAGGGAGATGGACAAGATGTACAAGCGCGACTACTGGGAGCGAGGACCCGGCCTACGCGCCCCTGCTGGAGCTCTCCGGCCTGCTCCTCGCGCGCGCCGAGGCCATCGAGTGCTTCAGTGAGCGCGCGCTCAGGGCCACCGATGCCATTCTCGCCCAGCGGTGGCAGGAGTGGGAGCGCCGTAGCAGGGCTGCTGATGAGTCGGAGCCGGCCCGGGCTGCCGACGCCGGAGAAGGTCGTCTGTTCTGTTCAGGGGCGGAGGACTCGGTAGGGCAAGGTATGGCGACTTCGCCGTGGATCTCTACCTGGATTTGCCGGCCAATCGCCCAGCCTAGTGCTGCGAGCCACGGATGCTATATCTCTAATTGTAGTGCCTTCTACTCGTCTCCTCTCTCCTTAATACTTTTTTTCTCATTGTTGTTCCGTTTAGGTATAAATAATTTGGTTGGTTAATTTTTTGAGTACAATAAAATGGTTAACGTTAGTATTAAATAAAGATGCATACAAAAGCAAAGGGAACTAGTGGTACATATATGTTGCGATTAGCAAAGATTGATATAAAGATTATTTGATATTTGTGCTCCTATACCAATATATAAGATTATTTGATATTTATTCTCTCATACCAATTGTGCTCTTAAATCATTTCGATTTTCAATTTTACTTTTCTATTTTTATTTTCAACTTCGCCATACCTTAAATTATTTCCGTCCTCCGCCGCTGGTTCTGTTTCTGGAGATCAATCGTGGACAACCTAGCTGCCCTGCTACGCTATTTTCTAGGATGATCTACAAATACTACTGCTACGAGTAGATAGGATCGCAGTGCTGCATGCATGCGCATGTTAACGTCAGTTAATGTTTTTCTAAACGCTAAACGATAAACAAGTGGGTTCCTATCGTTTAGCTATTATTCAAGCTAAACAGTCCATTAAACGAGCTAAACGGCCAATTATACGGGCTAAACGGACGATTTAACGAAAACGGTACACCACCTTATAGCGTTTATACGGTGTTTAAACTGGTTAAATGACTGTTTAGACGAACAGTGACGTCAGTACGTGTATATGTCACAAAGGAGATCTAATTTACTACTGTAGTAGTAGTATTTTGTTTGTTATTATGTTTCCATTTTGCATCTAAGTTCCCAACCAATACAACCCGATTATTTGGTCCTTCTTACGATGCCACATCTTTGATATTTTTTACGGTTTTTATTTATTTGATGGCACATTTAGTTTGATAACAATTGTCCTTTTCGTTTGGCTGATAAGCCATGACTGAAGGCCCTGTTCGTTTGAACTTATCAGCCGGCTTATCAGTTAGAATCTACAGTGTTTTTCTCTCATAACAAAACAGCTTCAGCCGGCTTATCAGCCAACTTTAATACCAGCCAAACAGGCCTGAAATTGGTTGATTTGTTATGAGAGAAAAATACTGTTTGTTGGCTGAAAAATTACTGCTTATAAGCCAAGCGAACAGGCCGAATGAATTAAAGTGTTCACTTTATTATAGCTTCATTTGGCACGGTTCCACTTCACTGGTAGAGTTTTTTTATTCTTTAGCTACAAAAGCAGCTTCAAAACAGCTCCTCCTAGTAGACAAAAAGAACGAAAGAACTATAATGCCTTTCTCTTTTTTCATGTTCTCATATTTCCTCTTCTTATTTGCTTGGCCAGGGTCTTATCTTCTTGCTCGATCTGCTTCTTCACCGATAGCTCGTGCGCGCCCGGCGGCCGTGCATGCCTCGGCAGATGCGCAGCCATGTTCCTGCAACCGTGCCTATGTCCCTGGTAGAGGCAAATCCGACCTTTGACGCATGCCGTGGCCCACGGTGCAAGATGAAGATGAGAGAAGCCAAGCTCTATCTCTCATCCGCCCCTTATAAGAGCAGGTTTTCAGAAGCTCGTCATGTGGAGCCATTTCATTTTCACCCATTTGGCACAAACACAGCTCCAAACAGCTCTAGGAGCTGGTGGAGAAGCTATGCCAAACGAGGCCTACTTCAACACAGCTAAAACTTAATCTATGCATTAAAGGTGCTACAATTATGAAATACGTATACTACCTCCATCTACAAATGAGTGCAATTCTAGGTGTATTGTTTGTTAAACTACCCAAATTTATTGTTGAAAGGACCGAAATTTCGCCTAGAGTGGGGTGAATAGGCACTCCTAAAAAAATAAAACTTCCAGTGGATATCAGGACCAGAAATTCCAACAGGGTAACGTGAAATTTCAAGTGGAAAAGGATTACGCCTATATAATCGATTCTACTTGTTACCAAAGGTTGATAGGCATGTAGTGAGTTGATTCCTCGCAAAACCTAAAACAAAAACACAAAGAACAAGTAGATCGGGGTGAATCTCACAAAAGTAAACATGAACAATAAGAACATAAGAAAAAGCAAAGGATACACCCGGTTTGTTTACCGAAGTTATTCAGATTCACCTCCGTGAATCCTACGTCTTCGTTGAGGCGCTCCCAAGGGAGTGGGTCTCTTTCAACCACTTTCATCGCTTCACTGCCTCTTCCTTGTGGAGGTGGGATCATGGCCTTCACAAACTTCCCATAGCTCACCACAAGCACGGAAGCTCACCGGGCAACTCCTTGCTATCTAGAAGGCTTCACCTCCAAGAGCAACAAACGCTACACCAAATGCTTTGACAAGAATCACAAGTGCTCAAGGGTGGGGTTTGCTCTCTCTTGCTGTTGCTCTTGCTCCCTGGATGTCTCAACCCAACTCTTTGGATGTCACAAGAATCAAAGAATCCTCATAAAGAGGGAGAGAGAGGAGATTTCAAATGGCCTAGAGAGGTGTTCTTCTCAAAAGCGTGTGAGTGAATGTGTTAAGAGTGTGTGAGAGAGTCCGAAAATTCCGGTGTGGGGGCCCAAAAATTCCGGCAGTGATGGAGGCTCCCGACCCACCAGTGATTATCAGATTTGGCGTAAGTGTTGCACCTCTAGTTTTCCATTCCCTCTTTTAGCATCTCCTGCTTGATGGGATGCGACCAGAGGTGGCAGTCCAATTTCTCCAGCATATGGGCAATAAGCAAATTGGGATCCGGCATGGTAAAACACTCTTCTTTCCATATTTAATTATGCGAGCTTGAGGACTGAATGGCGTGAGGATTTCCATGTTCATGAATTGGCTTGCTCAAACTGCAAACTGATATGCTCTAGTGAAGCTGAATAAAGAAATAGAGAATTTAGTCCACACTTGAATAAAGAAATTATCACCAGCGCACCCTGCAAAAACGACATTGAATTGGCTTGTCATTTTCAGAGTATAGTAGCATCCCGAACTGGCTTGCCATCCTGTACTTGCTGAATGCTGACATTGCTATGGCTTTCAGTAGCCATTCGTTACACCTTGCTCATGATCAGTTGTAGCTTGGTACTGTTGTACAGGAAGGAATACTAGCTGAGTTAGACAGTTATTTTTTCTGTTAGAAAGATGTTCCGAACATGTATTAGAATGTTCAGATATTCAGTTCATCAACACTTGATGTTGCTTTTTGTTGATTCAGAAAATGAATGTTGACATTATGGTATTATAAAAAAATTACATTAGCGATATAAATACTCCCTCCATCCTAAATTGTAAGTCATTCCAAGAATCTTGGAGAGTCAAAGTTTTTCAAGTTTGACCAAATTTATATAACAAAATAATAATATTTATCATACCAAATAAGTATCATTAGATTCTTCATTAGTTATATTTTCATATTATACCTATTTTATGTCATCAATCTTTGTGTTTCTCTCTATAATTTTAGTCAAACTTAAAAAAATTTGACTCTCCAAGATTCTTGGAATGACTTACAATTTGGGATGGAGGGAGTACTTGCCAGTGACATCCATCTACATAGGTATATAAGGTTCCGGGAAAATATGGCACACCGCTCTAGTTGTTTGGTTGTTGTCTCTTGTCTCATGAGTTGCTAGGGTAGTAGGGTGTGCTACGCCGTCTGTTGTTGTTTTAGTGTGCTCAATGTGATGCATTCCTGAGCAAGCTGTCATAGTTGCTTAGGGTCTGTTTCACTGTTTGATTGCCTGTATTTTTTTAACCCCTTATCCAGGGCCCTACAGTGTAGTTCATCCATGTTTGGTTATCTGCACAAGTCCATGTGTAGACTAACACTATTCCAAAGCAAACCCAGCCTGCATCCCACTATCTGGCCAAATCCTGTGTATTCAGCTATGCACACTTCCTATTGCGCCTGCTCTGTAGCCCAAGACACGGTCTGACCACTTATAGGAAACCAATCATATATATAACTGTACAACTTCCTGTACAGGTAAACCAAACTGTACCAAATTGCATTGCCTTGTCCAGGTTAACGGTATGCTGCATAACTTCTAATACAATGCAATACTAATGCGAGTAATCAAACAAACCCTTAATAGCTGAGAGATAGTTGTGTGTCTTTTTGCTCGATTTTCGTTATAAATTAAGGGAATTGTCTTCTTGTATAATAATATTAAGGTTAAACAAAATCTTTCACCATCCTTTTATAAGAAACAAATAATGTTTTATACTCTCTCCGTTTTAAATTTTTAGTCGCTCTGATTTTTTTTAAAAGAAATAAAAACGACTTATAATTTAGAATAATGGGAGTCCTAGTTTGGTTTGGTCAGTTTAGTCGTACAGTTATAAGTAAGTTTATGTCTTGTCATTGCCTTTGGTGATACTCATTTTATTTAATACACGGTGTTCGAAACTCTAGCTTCATACTTTCAGTAACAGGGGTGTTGTCTTTGGTAAAAAAAAAAGAAATTTTATCAAATAACGGACCTGAAAATGTACGAATGGGACCTTTCGTGTTTACAGAGACAAACGGCATAATAGCAAATGACAAAACAGTTAGACAGAGATCCACCTTGTTGGTCAGAGGCCGTCCATCGCGGAACCAACGGCGGATGCTCCTTCACGCGGTTTTGAACACTTCAGCCCCAACGATTTGTTCGGTTCGTCGACGACAGACAACCTCCATTTCCCACATTCCACCCCCTCTCTCCGTCCCTCTTCTTCCCGTCCTCCGCCACACGCCGCCGCCGTCTCCGGACAGGAAGGAACGGGGGCGGGAAGATGATGATGACGCGGGCCCCGATGGGGCCGAT